AGCCCCTACTCTGAGCTCTAAGTCGTCACTCAAAGCTTGGGACAAGCCACCAATCCCCCACTCTGAACTAGCGAACATGCCTCTTTCACAACAACGACACATATGATGAATGTCATACAAAATAAAGTACAACCTTACTATGACTATACATAATTACTCGACAACAAAAGATGTAATACGACCCCGCTTTGACTATAATTAAGTATATTCACTACATCAATAGTAACTCATATCTTAAATCATACGTCTCATCCACTTATCAAAAGTATGCACAAAATTTACATCATATCATACTTGCACATAATACTCATTTATGTATAATTTCACTTCACAACACACAATTAATTATATATTTTAATTAATTAACTCATGTTCATCAAAATACACCAAACAACAACCAATCACTGACTGCCCGACAAAACCACCCACATAACCCAAATCAACAGATCATAACACACATTCTAACACAACGACGGGTAACCCGTCACAGGGATGACGTCCGTCATCCTCCCCATCACCCAACATTTCAGACTGGTGATGACCTTGCAAGACCACGCTCGCCTAGAGACCATAACGGTCTCCTCGTCAAATGCCTGACGCCCGCCAACGCTTCACAGCACATGACGTTCATGGTGTCATACAATTGACATTTGTCACCTTGTTAACAGAAGCATAATTTTGTTATGCACTTGCAGAACTTTAAAAACTCTCTCAAACTAACTTCAAATAACTCAAATATGCAGAAACATCACCCAGATGATCACCGCATAAAAGCATGTTAGTTCATTTTTACCTAACATATTATTCTATTGATCAAATCCCTAAAACCCACAGTTTATTTATACTTTGATATCCCTAATTTTCACGTCAGCCACATGTTTATGAACAAACAACATATGAAACAATCATCCTCATTAGTGTGTAAATTTGCAGTTAAAACATGGTATAAAACAGAATTAAAATCATGTTATTCATCACACAACACAATCACCACAAAAAGAGAAAAATCCTATTGGAGGTTAAGGGAAACCTCTCTACCCTCTCATGAATTAAACACCCATAGATGAAGAATCCTCCCTTACCTTGTAATTCTAGAAAATTTAGCAAAGCAAACTCTTTAAGATCTCTTCTCTCAAGCCCTAGCACTTCCTTCAAGCTCTTCTCTACAAATCCCTTGTTTTTCACATACTGATAAAATAGTCTCTAACAACCTAATTATTGCTCTAACTTTAGAATATATACTATTTTATTTAATTTCTCTAAATTATACCTTTTCTCCAACCAAAGTTCAGCACTCTTCTACTCATCACTAAATTCTCTCAATTAAAAAAATTGGCCCAAATCTACACATTCTCACCAATTTCAAATTAAATTATTAATTAATTCCCACTAACCAAGTTAATCAACACAAAAACCACAATTACCATCACCAGCCAAACATGTCACATATTAACAAAAATAATTATTTAAATAAATTATACAATTAAATTAAATAAATAATTAAATAAGCAAATATTTAAATCGGGGTGTTACAACTCTCCCTCACTTTAAAAAAAATTTGCCCTAAAAAATTACTTGACGAGAAAAGATCTAGATACGATTCTCTCATCTTACTCTCAAGCTCCCACATCACACTACCACCAGCAGGACCTCCCCAAACAACTTTCACTGAAGCAATCTCCTTGCCTCACAGGCTTTTCATTTCACAATCTTCGATCCTCAATGGCAAAGTTTCCACTATCAAGTTCTCTCTAACTTGAACATCATCCAATTGGATCACATGAGACGAATCAGGAATGTACTTCCTCAGCTGAGATGCATGAAATACATCATGAAGATTCGAAAGATATGGCGGGAACGCCACTCGATAGGCCACTTCTCATACTCTGCTTATCATCTGTCTTTAGATGATAAGCAGAACTTAACTTTAGCTTAGTACCCATTGTTTCTTGAAAATTATGCTAAAACCCCGATGTAAACCTCAAATCTCTATCTGACACAATACTTGACGGAATACCATGCGGACTATCAATCTCCTCAATATACAACTCTTCCAACTTCTGTAAGGGATAATTGATCTTAATCGGTATGTAAAAAGTCGATTTAGTCAGTGTCCATAATCACGCAGATGGAATCACATCCTTTCATCGTCTTCGAAAAACTTGTCACAAAAGCCATGGAAATGCTATCTCATTTCCACTTAGGAATACTCAACGGTTGCATCAAACCTGATGGCTTCTTATGCTCAATCTTCGACTTCTGACAAGTCAAACAAGCACAAACAAACTCAATTATTTCCCTCTTCATTCCTGGCCACCAAAACATCATCTTCAAGTCTTGATACACCTTTGTGGCACTGAGATGAATACTCAAACCACTCATACGACCTTCCTCAAGAATGCTCTTCTTAAGCTCTGGCATATCTGGTACACAAACCATGCCTCTAAATTTCATCACACCATTCTTATAGATTCTGAAGTCACCTCCTTTACTTGATTAATTAACACGAGAAGGTCAACCAATCCCAAATTAAATTTATGACCTCCTATGATCTCTTCAAGGATACCACTAGTCAGCTTCAACATTATCCCAACCTCACGCTATTAAGAATCTCTTCACATACCAAACTCGGATATCTGAACTACTCAATTAAGTCTAATTCACGCACCATTAGCATCGACATATGCAATGAATTCATACTCAATGCATCAGTTATGACATTAGCTTTACTAGGATGGTAAATCAAACTAAAATTACAATCCTTCAGAAATTCAATCCATCTTCTCTGTCTCATATTCAACTCCTTCTGGTCAAAGAGATACTTCAAACTCTTGTGATCACTGAACACCTCAAATCTTGAGCCAAAAAGATAATGCCTTCAAATTTTAAACACGAACTATAGATATTAACTCTAGATCATGTGTAGGATAATTCCTTTCATGAATCATTAATTGTCTAGAAGTGTAAGCCACAGCCTGACCATTCTACATGAACACACCATATATACCCATCTTAGAAGCATTACAATACACCACAAAGGACTCAATTGGATTTGGAAAAATCAAAACTGGAGCATACGTCAACTTTCGCTTGAGTTCTTGAAAACTCTCTTCACAATGCACATCCTAAACATATGTTTGACCCTTTCGAGTTAACTGAGTCAAAGGCAATGTTACTTTTGAAAAGCCTTCAATAAACTTCCTGTAGTAACCAGCCAAACCAAGAAAGCTTATAATCTTGGTAACATACTTCCGAGTCTCCCACTACAACATTACATCTATCTTCGATGGATCTACATCAACACCACCACTCGAAATCACATGACAAAGGAAACTCACCTATCACAACCAGAACTCGCACTTGGACAAGTTCACATACAACTTCTTCTCTTTCAAGGTCTACAACACAACTCTCAGATGTTATACATGCTCCTCTTCAAATTTCGAATATATCAAGATGTCGTCGATGAACACAATCATAAACTTGTCTAAATGCAAATGAAATATTATATTCATGTATTCCATGAACACTCTAGGCGTATTAGACACCCCAAATGACATCAATGAATACTCATAGTGGTCATACCTTGTTTTGAGCGCAGTCTTCAAAATATCTTTTAGCTTCACGTGAATCTGATGATAACCTAACCGCAATCTTGCTAAACACACAAGCACCTACCAACTTATCCATAAATTATCAATCCCTTAGAAGTTGATACTTGTTCTTGATAGTCACCTTATTTATTGTCGATAGTTAACACACAACCTCATGCTACCATCTTTCTTCTTTGACTAGTAACATCAGCGTATCCCACGACGAAACACTCGACTGAAAAAACTTCTTAAGCAGCTCTTCCAATTTCTTCTTCACTTCACTCAACTTTGAAGCAGACAATCTATAAGGAGCCATCAACACCGGACTAGTATCAAATAATAAGACTATAGCAAACTCCATCTCACGCTCTGACCGCAAATCACAAATATCAACTAAAAACACTTCTAAAAATTCACACCACAAGTAACTCACCAATTGCAAATTTTCTTTTAACCTTCATAGAACTTAGTATTGAGCAAATCCCTCTCTCCTTTTTGTGTAACATATTTTATTTTTACTCATATGGTCCTTTGTTTTTTTAAGTTAGTTATTTGTAAGAAAAAATAGAAATATGCTTAGTTTTTATAAAATTTAAAATTTCTTTTTTAATCATTATAAAATAATTAATCCAACTTCTAGTCCATGCAATATTTCTCTCAAGAGTTTTAGTACCTTTAAAATCAAAATATCTTGACAGTTTATCAAATTACTATTAAACTTTACAAATATATATGATCTATAATATGATAGAGGTTTTTACGCTAAATGAGGTTGTTTTCTTTTCTAGAGTTTTTAGCCCTTTAAAAATTCATATTATTTTACTACTTAACTATAGTTCCATTTTTTGAATAGATCTTTATAATAAAAGTAAAAAAATTCAAAGGTGCATATCAATTAATTTAGAATAAAAAAATAAAAATACTAAACATAAAATTTTACAGGGAAGACAAGTCAAGACAAAATTTATAGAAATTAAATATATATGTTATAAATTTTATAAAGAGTAAAATGATATTTGACCATTATATATTTTTTTCTTGAGTCAATATTTGACCAAGATATATAAATAGAAAAGTGACAATCATGCATTTAAGACATGCTTGTCTATGATTTTTTTAAATGACAAAAAAGGATTAAATTTTATTTTTTTTGTTGCAAAATCTTATTTAATTTATCATAAATATACATTTTTTTAAAGAAAAGATAAAATAGTATTATAACTTTAGACCAAATATAATATATACTAGTATTACTAACTTATTTGGACAGATTCATACTTGACTACTATAAATTGTGACAAGGCAAAATACATAGTTTTCTCTTGTAGTTGACTAGGTTCTTTGTTTATAACATCTTCATCAAAGTTGGTTCAAAATCATCATTGTTTGTTGAGTGAGAGAGTAGCCATGGGAAGAGCTCCTTGTTGTGACAAAGAGAAAGTGAAGAGAGGACCATGGTCTCCTGATGAAGATGCAAAACTCAAGAGTTATGTTGAAATTCATGGCACTGTTGAAAATTGGATTTCATTGCCCCAAAAAGCTGGTGTTTTTTTTCTCTCTCTTTTCACATTGTTGCATTCATTTTTTTTTCATTTTCATGAGTAAGTTATTTATTTATTTATTAGTAAATCAAAAATGGAATAATTAACTATGGTTAATTAATTTATACTAATACACAGATCTTAAGAGGTGTGGGAAGAGTTGTCGTCTAAGGTGGATGAATTATCTTAGGCCAAACATCAAACATGGAGGCTTTACTGAAGAAGAGGACACCACCATTTGCACACTCTATAATCAAATTGGTAGTAGGCAAGTATTTTCAAATCATTTAATTTAATACTACTATTTATTTCATTTTATAATTTCCAAATTATTATCTGTTATACATGATTTATTTAATATAATATCATATAGTATAATTGCAACAAATTGTTTTCCTTCTATTTTCTATATAATAAATATGGGTGTTTTTTATGTATTTGAATATCAGATTAAATTTCAAATTGATTTTTTAAATCCGTCTACATTATATCGTACCACATTCATATATTTTTATATTTTTATATTTTATTAGTACGATATATTACTTTAATTTAATATTTGTTGGTATTTAATTTTTTTAATATTATTTATTAATTTAATTTATTTATTTATTTTTAATATTTTATTTTTCCATACGTAATTAATTTTTGTAATTTTATGTTTTAATATACCTTATGTTGTATATTATTTCGAACGTACTATTTTATAATACTTTATAATAAATTAAAAATTAATTTAAATTAAAGTGCGTAAAATTGAATTGAATCGATTGAATTTTTTAATTAATTAATTATTAATTATAAATATATTTTTTAAATTTATTGAATAATTTATATCTCGGTGGATATTATTTTCTTTATAGTACTCGGTTAGTTTCGTTCTCTAGAAAATAGTATACTTTCAGAGGAATATGCCTGAAACTGAAAGTTTGAATACTCATGAAATATTTGATTTGGTGCAGATGGTCTGTTATAGCATCAAAACTACATGGAAGAACAGACAATGATGTGAAAAACTATTGGAACACAAAACTAAAGAAAAAGATTTTGGCAGGAAAAATTAATCTCAAATCATTGTCAGGAAATGACAATACTACCCCTCCAATTACTTCACTACCTCAAAATTCACCATTGCCAATTATGTTAGAAAACAATCTTGATGCTAGTTATGAATTCAAGAACGGTGAAACAAACATTGGTTTTGACCAAATTGTTGAAAATAACATTGTTGCCTCTGAAATTGGTACAAGTAACAACAATGTTGTCAATCCTATGGTGTCCATGTGTGAAGACTCTTCAAGCATTGCAATGAATGATAACTTTGTATCTATTCAAGATCAAGCTGCCTATGAATCAATGGATCCGTTGCTCGATTTCGATTTTGGATTTCATCATGATGATGAGAGAGTTAGTGATTTTGCATCAAGTTGTGGCTTTTCAAATTGGGTTGATTTTAGTTATTCTAACGTTAAACCAAATTGACTCTGTTTAGTGTTAATAACCTTCATGAGATTATGAAATAGCAAAACTAGGTGGTTTTTTTTATCTTTTAGAATTTTTTTAAACGAATCGAAGCGATAAGAACAAAATCTCAATATTAGTTATCTTTGTATTCTGTTTACAAAAGGATTAGATAGTTTATTAGAACAAAGTTTGTTATTAAGCAATTTAAAAAGTTGATTATTAAAGATTATAAGATAGATGTTTTTTTTACAAGTCTTTGTTTAAGGTTAATGTGTGCATGAATAATGTTGTTGTGTGGTCCATGAAATTTGGTTATTTGTTTTTTTGTTTGGAATAAGGATTTTTATATGACATAAGCATTTTTTATGGTTTATTTTTTATGAGTGGGTCACGAAAATTGCATGGAGATGTGTCCAATTCAAAACTTGGAGTTGAATATTTTGTCCTTCTTATCATTCAATAACCATAAAAGATTCTGTCTTTTTTTCTCTCTCTTCACGCTTTTTGTGCTGCATTTTTAGGACTCATAGTAAATGATTGTTTTTTTAGGTTCATGGATTATATTAAAACACAATAACAAAATAATATAATGATGAAATGATTAATACAATGTGCGTTATTCAACGTTATTTTTAATTGAATAGTGTTTATTTTAATGTGATTCGTTTTTTTAATATAAAAAAAAAAGTAAGAAAAGGAAAGTTATTTTTAAGCAAAATGATATCAAGGGAGAGAATTTCAACATGTTACATTCAAATTATAAGGTCAAATTCTTATTGAATTAACATTTTAAACGTGTATCGTCGGATTCAACTTCATTATGCTTTTTTTTTACACAAACAAATTTAATTTATTTCACTAAATAATTGTTTTTTAATATAAGAAAAAAATCGAATGAGTAAACCTACGTCTAGTCCAATAATTAGTCGCTTTAGCTAACAAATGTAAATTTAACAAGTTCTTAATATTAGATATGTTGTGAATTGAATACCTTAAAACTAAGTATAAACAATTTCTTAATGATCAAGAAATACACAAGAGTTATGGTTAATAAAGAAGAAAACAATAAGGATTGGTTATTAAACTGCTATTATTTCCTTTCTCTTAATTAGAACAAGATTACAAGTATATAAAAATAACAAAATAACCTCTCTCTCTCTTGATATTAGGATTTTATCTTTCTATTTTTTCTTATGCCAAGATTGAGAAACTAGCATCCTATTTATAAGAAAAACAGCACACTAATCTAATGGACTTTTTAACAATTGTCCATTACAAGTTAACTTAGGGTACAAGCTAACTTAAACAATTGAGCTTACAAGTAAGGCCCAATTCAACATGCTAACAACGCTAACAATATTGACTAATGCATGATAGAACAAACTTCGACTACAACACACATTACTCGCGAACAGACTTCGACCATACTAGAGTTCGATCCAACGTCTCACATATCTCCACCTTGGATCTAACTCTATAACATCAAGAACCTAGCTTTCTCCATGCAGCTTTATTAATTGCATACAATGGAAAAACTTGCAACTAGGCAACATCTTGGTGATCATATCAGCAGCATTATGATATGTTGAATCCTTCAGCACTTGGACTTCTCCACGCTCGATTACCCCTCTGACGAAATGCAGCCTCACATCAATGTGCTTGGTTCGCTCATGATAGGCTGAATTCTTCGACAGGTGTATTGCACTTTGACTATCACATTTAATAGTGATAACTTGACCTTGAAGTTTTACCTCATTTGCAAAACCTTCAAGCCACAATGCTTCCTTCACAGCTTCAGTTAGGGAAATATACTCCGCTTCAATGGTTGATAAGGCAACGATCTTCTGAAGTGTTGCTTTCCAACTGATTGTTGTCCCAAACATAGTGAACACATCTCTAGAGATAGATTTTTTGGAATCCATACAACCTGCATAATCAGAGTCGACATATCCTTCGATTGCTTCTTTACTATCTTCACCCAAGGCTCCACCATAAATTAGGACTTTATTCATAGACTCATTTATGTACCTTAAAATCTACTTGAATGTTGCTAGTGAGCCTTTCTAGGATTCGCAACGTACCTGCTTACAAGACTTATTGCATATGCTATGTCGGGTCTAGTACAGACCATAACATACATCAAAGAACCTACTATGTTAGCATATGGAATGCTATTCATATAAGTTCTTTCAACATCAGTGTTGGGACACTGATCTATACTCAGCTTGAATTGAGGGTTTGTCGGAGTCACAACAGGCTTTGAATTCGACATACCAAACTTTTTGAGAACCTTCCGTAGGTATGCCTCTTGAGATAAGTATAATTTCGACTGATTTCTATCTCTCTGGATGTCAATCCCAAGAATCTTGGACGCAACTCCCAGATCCTTCATGTCAAACTCTTGATTGAGTTCAGTCTCCACCCTCATTACATCTTCGACATTGTTGCTTGCTATTAGAATATCATCCACATAGAGCAACAAAATAACAAATGAATTACCCGGTCGAAATCTAAAGTAAACACAGTGGTCGAACTGACTTTTGATGAAACTTATGCGTGCCATGAACTTGTCGAATCTCCTATTCCACTGTCGAGGAGATTGTTTCAGTCCATATAAGGATCTATTCAGCTTGCACACATAATCTTCCTTCCCTTTTTCGACATACCCTTCAGGTTGCCTCATCAGGATTGTTTCATCTAAGTCACCATACAAGAACGCAATCTTCACATCCATATGTTCCAGTTTAAGGTCGAACTGTGCCACTGTGGCAAGCAACATTCGAATAGATATATGCTTCATAACAGGAGAGAACACATCATTAAAGTCGATGCCTTCTTTCTGAGTGAACCCCCTAACAACCAATCTTGCCTTGTACCTCTTCGACGCCACTCTTTCGATTCCTTCCTTAACTTTGAAAATCCATTTACAACTGACTAACCTGACTTCAATAGGTTTCTTGATCAGTTTCCAGGTGTTGTTATCATGAAGATATTTCATCTCATCATCCATGACCTTCATCCATTCAGTCTTCTTTCGACTCCTCATAACTTCCTTATAGTCTCTAGGTTCTTCATCTAGAACTTCAATAGCAAAGATTAAGGCATAAGCTATAAGATCTACATGCCCAAGTCTCTAAGGTGGATTGATGACTCTCCTCGGCCTGTTTCTTGCTAGCAGGTAGTCATTATCAATCTCCTCATTTTTTACAACATCTTCTTCGTCTTCTTCGACTTCATCTGGGGTACGCAATTTAACATCAACATACTCCACCTCAACAGGAATCTCTCCCTGTTCCAGCTCTTTGCTAGCATCATCAATTTTTTGAAAGTCATCTCTACTTCATTGAAAACTACATCTCGACTGGTGACACACCTCTTGTGACTTGGCTCTAGGCACCATAGCTTATAAGCTTTGACTCCTTCAGGGTATCCCATGAACATGCATTTCAGAGCTCTAGGTTCGACCTTATCTTGCCTAATATGAGCATAGGCCAAACAGCCAAATACTCTCAGTCTATCGAGACTAGGTGGATGTCCCGACCAAACTTCTTCAGGTGTCTTCATTCCCAAGGCATTCGAGGGACATCTATTTATCAGGTAAGCTGATGTCAAAACAACTTCCGCCTAAAACACCTTCTTCAATCCAGCACTAACCAACATGCATCTAACCCTTTCAAGGATTGTTCGATTGAATCTCTCAGATAAGCCATTTTTTTAAGGAGTACCTGCTATAGTCTTATGCCTTGCAATCCCAGACTTAACACATTAACTGTTGAACGCTTCGTTGCAGAATTCAAGGCCATTATCGGTTCTCAACCTCTTAACCTTTCTGTCAGTTTGAGTTTCGACCAGAATCTTCCAACTTTTGAAATTCTCAAAAGTTTCATCCTTTGTCTTCTGAATGAATACCCATAGCTTTCTGGAATAGTCATCAACGATAGATAGAAAGTACATTGCACCTGAGTGTGAAGGATTCCTTGCAGACCCCCAAAGATTAGAATGAATGTAATCCAGGGATCCATGTGTTCTTTTCTTGCCTTTGTTAAACTTCGTCCTACAAGATTTACTAAATACACAAGATTCACAAAACTCCAACTTTTCGATTTTGTCACCTCCTAGCAGGTTCTGCTTCCCCAATTCGACCAGGCCTTTTTCGCTAACATGGCCCAATCTCATGTGCCATAATTCTGTCTTCGACACAAGTTTCATGGATGCAACATTTGTCGAACCACTTACAACCTCAGCCTCAAGGGTATACAAACCTTATTTCTTCACGCCTCTCAAGACTTCCTTCGACCCTTTCATGACTCTTAAAATACTTTTCTCTCCTTGAAAAACATATCCCTTTCTATCGAATTCAACAAGAGAAATAAAATTTCTCTTCAAGCCAGGTATATACCTAACTTCAGTCAATAACCTTATTGACTCATCATGGAGCTTGAATCTTACAGGTCCAATACCTGCAATTTTGCAAGATTTGTTGTTTCCCAGCAGCACAGATCCTCCATCTTGATCACTTAACTCCTCGAACAATTCTCTATTTGGAGTCATGTGTCAAGTGCAACCTGAATCCATAATCCACTCTTTTCTCGAGTCGCCACTTGAAACCACAAGAACATCATATGAGTCGAAGTCATCTTGAATAATGGTTGCGTTGTCATTACCTCCATGATCTTTCAGGCGTTCAGGGTGCACCTTTCTTATGTGACCTTCCTTCTTACAATGATAATATCGAATACCAGATGTTTCGCCATTATAAGACTTCTGTTGACTTTTACCTTTCTTCTTGTTGAACTTACCATCTTTTCGCAAGAATTTTCTGTTAACGGCCAAACCTTCGCCAACCGTCGAGGTTTTATGCTCCTTTCGTTTGTTCAAGTCCTTAGAATACAAGGCTGATTGAAATTCTTCAAAGGTCAGGGACTCCCTTCCATACAACAGAGTTTCTTTGAAGTGAGCATGTGTTCTGGGCAAAGCACACAGCAACAACAGTGCTTGATCTTCATCATTGATCTTCA